AGCATTCAGTTCCGTATAGGTCCACTGGTCTGACCACTGAGTGGTAGACTTTGGATTTTAGGCGCAAAGGGATCTTCTTGTCTCACAGTACTCCAGTGACCTGCCGCCATTTCATCCAAGCGGCGCTGACTCGCGTCTTGGCGTCTTGGAGGGTAGTGCAGTCGGAGTTGACACATGAGCCTAGGTACTTGGACTGGGTCACTTTGTTCAGTTGGACCCCACCAGCTGCGATTGTGCCATCGGTTTGATCACCGCATTCCAGGAACTCCATCTTCTTGATGTTCAATTTCATCCCGAATCGTTCAAGGTGCATCTTCCACTCCTGTACTTGCTGTTCGAGGCCGTGTCGTGTTTCACTTGCTATCATAACATCATCAGCATACAATAGCGTCCATGGATGTCTCGTTTGGATATCCTTGGTTACTGTATCCATGCAAAGTATGAATAGCAGAGGAGACAAGGCTGAGGTTTGGTTGACGCCAACATTGATCGGGAAGGTGTCTGGGGTTCCAGCTGCGCAACGTACTGAGCTAGTGGCCTTTTGGTACAGGAGCTTTGTCCAGCTGACATAGGCTTCGGGGACGTGGTGCTGTCGCAGCGCCAGCTAGATGAGATCGTGTGGTACCCTCTCGAATGCCTTTTCCAGGTCGAGAAATGCCACGTGGATCGTTTTCCTCTTCTCGTGGTGCCTTTCCATCAGTAGGCGGGCTGCGTGTATGGCGTCTGTTGTTCCGCAGTTTTTCACAAAGCCGCATTGGTTTGGCAAGGTATCAACGATGGTTCTTAGTCGTGCGTTCAGCACATGCTCGAAAATCTTCGTTGTATGGCACAGCAGCCGGATAGGCCTGTAAATTGGAGCAGTCGTTAACATCGCCTTTGTCTTTCCAAATTGGCACTGTGATGCTGGTTTGCCACGTTTCCGGGGGTGCCTTTTCCTCAATGATCTTATTGAAGCCATGCTGCTCCTTGTGTTCCAAGGAGCTTCCATACTTCGGCAGGGATGTCGTCCGGGCCAGTTGCTTTGCCACTTTTCATCTTGTTGATGGCGGTGGTTACTTCTGCGATTGTCATGGTGGGTACTGGGCCGGAGATGGTATCGGCTGCTGGTAGTGGAGGATGCGGAAATTCCTCGTTGCATATTTTCTCAAAGTAGTCCTTCCAGCGCCGGAGGATGTCTTTTGGCTTCTGCAGCGTCTGCCCATTTTCATCTTTGATGGTGATAACGTGTCCTAGGTCTTGTGTGGCGCGGTCGCGTGCGCGGGCGAGTTCGTAGATCTTGTTTGCCCCACCAGGCATGTCCAGTTGGTCATAGAGGTCCTGGTAGTGCGCCGCCGCCTTTGCAGTCGCCACGGTTCGCTTTGCGGTGGATTTCAGTGTGCTGTATCGTACAAGATCGTCTGGGCATTTTGATGCATTATAATGCATTATTCGTCTCACTTTCTGAGTGGCTGGATCTGTATATCCTGAGTTTACCTGGACTGAAGTGCTCAACCAGGTCCTAACATTATATCTTCCCAGTTAAAATGCTTACTTCACTATAAACTTGTAACATTTCATGTCTTGCAACAACCAGACACCAGGTAAAGCACACTCAGAAAACTGAACAACTGAAGGTATAATGATTAGTACTATGTTTCAAAATGATGTTAATTTAACTTTCTTTCAAAATGATGTTACTTTAACTTTCCTGCGGACTGGAATGCCTTCCAGGGTATGTCCCCCATGAACCTGTACTGGATGAAGTGGTTAGAAAATTAATAATTTCCTACTCCTTTCTTTGCACTCAAGTTACAATAAAATATGCTTCCATGCTATTCAAGTTACAGTATTAGATATGGTGGCAAAAATAAGCAAGACTATTGACGTTCTTTAATTGCCTTAGACAGCAATTTAAATTGTTTAGACAGCAAATCTGGGGGAGGAGTGGTGGTTCTGTGGCTAAGGATCTGTGCTTGTGGCTGGGAGGTTGCTGGTTCAAATCCCACAGCTGGCAGAGGACTCCTACTCCATTGTCCCCATGAGCAAGGACCTTAACCCCAGCTGCTTCAGGGGTGCTGTATAAATGGCTGACTCTCCACTCTGTCCTGATGTTTCTGTGTGCTTGTGTATCTGGTGTGTTTATTTTCTTCTCTCTTCAGCCTGGAATAAACCTTTACCTGTTCCTTTGCAGCCTACGCATGCTGACACACCTCCCTACTTGAGTTGTTTAGCTATATCAGTTATGGAATGTTGTTGTCCTGATTTGAGGGTGACTTCAATCATCACCTTTGGTCCAGGCTGGAGCTGGAATAAAAAAAATGTACAGAATTCTTGCAATGTAATTATGCTGTGGTGCTTAATATTTATGCCTCTTTTCATTTTCTTTTCGTTACAGTGCTTTTAATAAAGCTGTGCATGAAGTATATTAGAAAGTTCTATAATAATACAGTCTTAGTAACGGGGAAACAGAGTATTAGATCAGCACTATTGTTTTGCCCTTGTTTAAACATCTGATTTTTTCTTTGCGAATCAGCCCAGGATGACAGCTGACTTGAGATTCGTCGAACAAGTCTCATTTTTGCTATATTTTTGTCTTGATTATGAATGCTGAGCATCAAAAGAAACATCCCTTACCCCTGCAACAAATTGATAAATGTTGATGTTAAATCGCCTCATTACTTGTGCCCAATCAACTCGCTCACTAGTGAGGAAATTTAGTGCTTAATCAACATAGTCACTCACGGATATCAGTCGGCCATGAATGATCAATTAATCAAAATGATACCAAGCACATTTCCTCAATATCTAAAATCTATGTACAGTATATACACCTATAGTGATAAGTGATACAGTAAGTTACTCAGTACTGTATATATACAGTATAATCAGTGCAGGGGAAGGAGGTTATGACACTGGGAGTCTGTACCTTTCTATAGTGTTTCATGTTCAAAGGCCTCAATATAACCAGTTTGACATTTGCCTTCTTCACTAAATGCTGACACATTTCCTAGCAGGCCAACCTTAAGTTTCTGACAGGTTTAATGGTATGCAGCAAGGCTAAGGCAGGTCTGCCCTGTGTTCAAGGGTCTTCAGCTGGGCTGTCTCTCTCTCTCATGTCATAGAGCTTCACTTAAACATGCAGGCAGGGCAGCTACTGCACCAGGACCCACTGAAATGAAGAGCAATTCAAAACCAAACCAAACCTGCACGGCAATCTAGTTCATTTAAGGCGAAATGAGTTTAGTAACTGGGAATTAAGAGTTGACACTTCAGTGCATTACACATGCTTCCTGTGAATTAAGGTCAGGGTTGTTTTATATGCAGATTGTACTGCAGCAGACTTCCAGTATCACATCTTCAAGGCAGTCAGAGAGCTGACTCAAGCAATTCCATCAGACTTCTGCTTGTTCCCCCTCAGGGACTCAGGGAGCAGACTCTGTAAACTCTCATGGAAACTGTATTGAATGTGAATTGCAAAAAGGGTTTGGAATTGTATCCTTCATTGTGTGTGTACAAACTGAAAGGTGTGTTATGTAACATTTGCAAACTTACATTACTCTATAAGCATAACCAATGTGTATCTTTTTTCCTCAGGTTTTTCACATAGGTATGAGCAATGTTTAGGCTCAGGGCTTCCTGATATTCTATTAATTTGTACAGCAAGGTGACAGGTTGTGTTAATCTCTTTGTAAATAGATATTTTGTGTGTTTGTTAATAGTTGCAGTTACCTAAACACCAGCTCATACTTTGGCTTGTCTTTGGAAAGGATTACATATTGTAGGAATAGAGACAACTGTGTATAGCGAGCAACTCCGGCAAGAATGCGTTCGTTTTTTGAATGTTTAATGTTTGTTTTTTTTAATTCCATCTTATGCAGTGCAAGAAAATAGAAACTGAAAACTGGAATGTGTATTTTGTACATTGTTTACCATATGATTTAATCTGTGTTTTTTCAGCACTCAAGTGCCATTCATGTAAACTGTAAACAGGATATTGCTTCACAGAATATTTTCCTCAGTGTTTTTTCAGATGTGAGATATAATAGTGGACTACCATGACTTTTTCGTCACATAAAAGCATAGAGCGAGTTTATCTCCCAGTAACTCTGTTGTGAATTTGATTCTGGTGTATAAAAAGAACAGAAATATATTCTCAAAATAATGAATGACTCTTCTGCTGTGATAGGAGTTCCAGGTCATGTCAGGACAGTTAGTGCTGTTTGTAGTGCATTGCTGGTTTGCTTCTTTAAGCTTCTGATGTAAATCTGTCTGATGCTTTCCTAGACAGAATTTATAGATCACACTTTTGAGAAATCAAAGAAAAATTTAACTGTGTAAAATACTCTTTGAAGCTCTTTCATACCTGCATACTGTAGGTCTGTTTTCATGTTGAAATAACTGCATAAAGAATACTATTTTTGTAAGGAAAAAATGATTATCATATGAATTTGTTTTTAAAAATAAATATGGATGTTTTTTTTTACTTTATGCCCGCCCAAATTAGAATTGTTAATTGTCTCATTATGTCTTAGTTGACTTTACAAATCCCAGTACCCACATTGAGAGCTTGAGTAAGAATAGACAGCTCCCCCATCTTGGCTATCCACTGAGCCATTTATCAGCTGGTATACAGTACTACAGGCTTCACCCATAGGGGTTCAGCACCTATTGGAGGAGTGTCACATCCCTCACTAATGTCACCATAAACCTGCTAGTGTAGAGGAAGGTGTTTGAGAAGAGTAGATAGGAGCCCCAAGAGCTCCGTCTAACTAATTTTAACCCTACCTGTGGAGAGAGCGATATAATCAGCATTTTTAAATCTTTCTTTGTTATTGCATACAACACAATAACAATGTTATTACATATGTGATATAGTGAATCTTTAATACCTACAGAGTGCTGACCTTGAATTAGTCCATCCCCTTCTCCAGCCATAACTGCTGATTCCTTAGATCTGTTTAATATTTGTTCCATGATTTGTTCTGCCACTGCTCTGATGTGGTCATTTGCTTTCTTTAAAGGCCCTGTGATGGACCGAGGGGAATGTATTCTGCTCAGCCGAGGACACAGAGAGATGTGGCCTACTGGAGGAGACGGGGGCAGGACTTCAGCGTCCTACTGGATTACACTGACAGGGGAGAGAAGAGAGGAAGTAGCTTCGCAAAACCAGAAGGGACGAGAAGGGCACACGAGCTGCCTGCAAAAGAAGGAAGAAACGACAGGGAGTGGTGGGAAGAGAGTGCAGTTTTGAAAGAGAGGAGCAAAGTGCAGGAGAAATGGAGGATGGCAGGCGATAGGAAATGGCAAAGTCTGGGCACAGAGGAGTGGAGGCCCGCTGTGGGCATAGGACGGCAGCTGTCAGATGGCGATAATGACAAGTGGGCACAAGATCAGCGTGGCATGAAGGCGGAACTAGGTGCCGGTCACCCGAAAGCCAAGGGAAAGTCACAGTCTCTTCCAAGAGTGCTGTCACCAGAGAGTCTGCAGTATGTTGACATGCCTTTATCCAGTCAGGACGTGTTTAGTAGCCAAAGGATGAATGGAAAATGTTCAGATGGACCTTACAGTAAGTATCACGAAGAAGTGGCTGGCAGAGAACCGTGGACTGAAAAGTGTCGGGCAGGTGGTCACCCTGCCCTTTTACCAAAGCCCAGGTTTAGCAGGCCACTCAAGCCTCCATCGTATGAGGCTCACCAGCAAACAAGGGGGAGTTCTGAAATGATAGCTGGAGATCAGGAATCCAGATCAAAAGACAAGGTTTCGTATTTTTGCAAGAGTGCCGAATCAAGGCAGGACTTTCTTCCATATGAACCTCCAGGGTCGAACACGGAGCCTCCAGTTTATATACCTCCTCCGTCTTACAAAAAGCCCCAGCAACAGAAAGGAAGCCAAAAGAATATCAACGAAGTGTCTGATTACAAGTTCAAGAGAGAAGTGCAGCAGGTGCCAGAAAGAAAGGATGCAGGGAAGTGCTTTTCCAGACAGACAGGAAACTCTTGGATTGAATACCAGAAGGACAGAAATGTACCTGGCAGGAAACAGATGTATCCTGGATACATAGATGACCATCTGGGATGTATTCAGTACATACCCTTTGATGATCCGCGTGTGAAACACATTCAAGGAGATCTATGTGGAAACTCTCTAACTGACTCAGACAAAATCAAAAATATCAGCAAACGGATTCCTAAAGTGTTAGAACAATCTTCCCATGATAGTGCCTTTTCCCCCCCTGAGGGACTGTTTTTTGATATGGACACAAGCAAACGATCATTTCATGAACATGACAGTGGCAGTAATAGTGGTTTACACAAAGAGAGTGGCAATTCAATGGACCAAAGCTGTGTTAAGTATGAACAAGAGCGATCCAATGCAATTTATCAGAACAGAACAGCCAGGCAGATGCCAAACATGGACCAAGGTTTCTCTGAAAGTGTTACCAAGGTAAAAAAGTTTGAACCTGGTACTGAAGCAGACAACAAAAGAAATACAAAGAAAAGACTCAATGAGACCATATTCTGCTTAGTCTCTGTTCCAGTTCACTTGCAGCCGAATGGTGACAGGTCAGATCAGAATAATAATGAGAAAGATCTGAGCCACGTAGAAAGTTCCATTGATAAAAGTATTGGAAATCTGCAAAACCAAAGTCTCCTAAGCACATCGTCTACTGATTTAGAGTTACAAGCACTTACTGGTGGCATGATGAATGACAAAAGCCTCAAAAAACCACAGCAAAGGAAAGACACAGATGACACGAAGTCCCAACAACCAAATAGACACAAAGAACTTAAATATTCTGGGTCTTGGCCTGGAGATCAGTACCGAGATCAGGAGACACAAACTAGCTTCCCTGAGGCTTCCAAAGGTGCCCCTCAGGGTTCTCCAAATAACCAAGCACAAATCCATAGCTCTCCTGCCTCTGAATCCACAATAGAAGTGAATTTAAGTCACGGATATGGGTATCCTATGAAAGGGCAGATGCACTTGAACCCCTCCAGCAACAGTGCTTTTTCAAGGACAACGTCTTTTTCCAACCAGGTAAAGAGCACAGCTCTTCAAGTTCCACCCTCAGGAAATCTAGACGAGAAAACCTACATTGCAGCAAAGAAGAGTGAAAGTAAACCTGTGGCCAGCAATGGTAAAGAAGCTTTTGGGCAGTTTCTCTTGAAGCCTGTTAGCCGTCGCCCATGGGATGCAATTGAAGAACTGGAAACTTTCAACAAGGAGCTTCAGGAACAGATTGGGAAACGAGCCAGCGTGGATAAGTCCATCGATGAACTTGACGTGGCTTACAGAGATATTCTGGATTTAAACACTGCTAGCGCTAACACTGAACATACTAAATCACAAGTTTGTGACCATAAAAATGGTACAAGTATTTTGGAAGCACCACGCTGCAAACTCTCAAGCAGCTGGAAAAACATGTTAGAAAGCAGGAGTGCAGCAACAGAAACTGACTTCGGAGATGTTAGTGCTTTTTCACGCCTTTCAAAAAAGACAGTAAGTTTTAGCAAGCCATCAAAAGAAGAGGTGTCTATGCTGCCCCAAAACTCCCCGAGTGACTGCAGAGTAGTTAACCAGGGTAACCTGCTTTCAAAAGAGTTCTTGCACAGAGATGTCAGTATTCCTTCGTGTATCTCCTCAGCTGAAGCACCGCGTTTCGCCAGACAAATGAAGCAAGATGCGTCAACTCACACAAACCCCCCCAGCTATGAAGACATATGTTACTCTCTACAGCTATCACGGGAAGCCATGGGGACAAACAGAGCACCTAAACAAGATGACTTTAAACCGGTGGAATCTAAGTTTGCGAGCTTTAATGCCGTTTCTCAGACTTCAGTTAAAATCACTGGCCTCAAAAAACAGGAGGGTGTTCCTCTCAAAACGGAGCCTGACAGAAGGATAAAAAAAGAACACCTGGTTCCCAAACGCAGCGAGGACAAAAGTTCCAGCATCAGCAGTCAGAGTGATAGGTTTCAAGGTGATGAGGGCCTACATTGTAAAGTCACCCGTAAGTCATGGGAGGGCAGAGATATGAATGGAGGATCATTTGTTATTGATGATGATGCGGAAAGCGCCGGCTGGATGAAGCAGTTTTCATTAGCCGAAACGCAGCTTCCAACCAACAAGAAAGCAGAGAGCGAGCAGAGTGAGGACCTGAGCAATCTCTTTGAAGTCAAAAAGGCTGAGGGGATTCCTGAGAACGAATCCATAGAGCAAAGAGCAGCTAGGATCTTAGGAATAGATGTACCAACTGAGTGTCTTTGTGTGGCAGAACAGAAAGGAGCCAAACAGGGAACAGAAGATCAGGTTACTACAGGAAACAGGTCTTTGATGAAGGCCATGTTTTCCGAAGAAGGACTGGAGCGTAGTGCAGGTGGAAAAATATTGTGCCTGAAAGGAAAGCACGAGGAACTGAGCCCACATTCCAGGGTGCTGAAGCGGCAACAGCAAGAAAACGGTTTAGCAAACTCAAGAAGAGAAAATAGCTCCTGTTGTACGCTGGAAAAAAACAGTGTAGAAAACAACCTAAAGATTTTTCTCAGGAGCCATGACATGTCATCGGAAAAGCCACTGGTCACTAACGCCGAGGAAAATATGGTCCAAGCCTCCAGTTGTGATAAGAAAGGCAGAGTTGCCTCAAGAATGATCGAAGCCCTGCAGGACAAGCTGGCTTCCTCCCCCAGCCGCACAGTCATGGAGCGTATCATCCGCATGAAAGAGGTGGATTCGGTCTCCCGCATGAGGCGCCTCAGCATCAAGAGCTCGGACTCGGGGGACGAAGCCGAGAGCGAAAAGTCGGCCAAGCAACCAGAGGAGGTGGAGGAGCTCTTCACCTTTACCACTCGGCAGGAAGCACGGAATGGCGCTGTCGCCAAGAGAGAGATAACTCTGTCCCAAGAACGCCATGTTTCTGTGAAGGGCAGCGAACCGCAGGACGATGAGGTCTCTCCCCCTTCAGGTAATCGCTTAGGCAAGCAGGTGAACATGTGGGTGCCCAGCTGGGACATCTTTGACATGCTCTTAAGTGCGACAAATCCCCCAAATTGTGACATTTTGCTTCCATTTTGGCAAACTGTGCACAAATTAAAGGGGCAAATGTAACAAGAGTCAATAGGTGTGGAAAACAGGAATACAAACATTTTGTCACTAATATACATTGTGCTGGATTTATTGGGAGATAAAACATGAAGCAAACGTTGCACAGGACCAAAAAGCCTTAGAGGTTCCCTGAGAGCTGATCCAAAGTCACAGTTAAAGTAAATTAAATTGTGTTAAGACTTTCGCTGGAAGAACTATAAAGCAGAAGTGTTGACCTTCTGACTCAAGCCGAATTTGTTACTGAATGTGCATTTTATCTGTTGAAAAACAACTTAGGGCTATTCTTTTTCCTGGTTATTTCTTGCCAGTTTGCCTGCTTTTAAAGCTGTAATTAATCACTGCTTAGTCTTTGACTATAAGTCTTTGACTAGTTAATGGTGACTATTACAGTACTAAAAAAAGTAGAAGGAGGTCTTGGCAGCTTCAGAGACAATGCTTGTAATTGCTGCTAATTCATGTTGTTTGAACAGGATGTGGTTTTTTCTTGGTTTACAATGAACTCCAAAACATACATATGTTCAAAACATTCAGTGTGTTAAACCAAAAAAAAAACAATTAATACACATTCAGAGTTTAAGGATACAGTGAAAGCTAGTCAGTAGTTACTTCATTCAATACTGCTGTAATCAGATGCCCTTTTTACTGTCACCATTCTCTCTATTAATGGTGATAAATGTAACTAAGATCAATAGCTTTCTGTTTTATCTTCATTAATTATCCATTGCATGTATATCTTCTGATATATTATATAATTTTATGATATCTAATATAACATACAGTAGGTAAATGTCTATATCTAGTTTTGCTGGTGAATGAAAACCTATGTATGAAGTATGGTGTGAGTGTGCTGTTTGAAACCTTCCAACTGGCTTAGACTATAATGTGGCTTGTTCAGAGTGCAGGCTGGGCTCTGTGGTCCAGGTGTTGCTGATGTAAGCCTGGGTCATGACCATGATTCCTCAGGCAAGAAATCTCGCAGGTGAGTGTTAGGCTTGAGGCAGCCAGTTTCCTCAATGGTCCACGACAACAGCGCCCCCTGGCGGTTGGACGAATGCCTGTGAGCTTACAGTGATGTCTGTGGGAGACGTGCATCTTCGCAGCAGTAGTACTGACACAGCTGTGTGGCGCTGTGGAACTTGTAACGAGCAAGCATGGCGCTTGTTGGAAGGGATTCCACGCATGTAGAGTACAAAAGTCCATATTGATTGACGACTTTGCATTTCAAATTGTGTTGATATAAAATAGAAGATAAATTGAAATCAAGTAAAACTTGTTAATATGTTTCAGAGTTATCTCTACTTTCCAGTGTCTCTTCTGATTTTTGGTTTTAAACAGTCATACAATTAAGAGTCACAGGACGACCTTGGCAGATTAAATCACATCGCAAGAACAGTCTCTGGTCTTACCTGCCCTAAATCCTTCCATTAACCATTTAAATGAATAAAAACATTTTAAAAACAAGCAGCTTTTTACAGTGCAATCTTATCAGTGTCCACAGATAGCAGAAAAGCCAAGACAAAAGAGAAAAAGTAATAAAAAAATGCAGTACACAAGGCAGTGACTTGCGCCTTGACCAGGAGGATAATGGAGATAACCTACATGAAAGGATCAGTGTCCAGACAGGGCCAAAAAAATCAATAAGCCAGGCAGTTTGAGTTGAGTGTTTTGTCTGCCAAACATATGCTCAGGCCTCTCTGAGTGCTGCCAAAAATTAAACCAGAGATCATTTTCAAATCGCTGATAACTTGTCCTTGTTCGCAGACCCATTACAGCCTATCCTACAGCTGCAAAAGGGAGTTGGTCATGTTTGTTTTTCCAATTACAATAAATAATTCAGTTAAGAGCAAGGGGTTGCAATTATTACAAAACAACTCGTTTTACATGCCAGATAACTATTAAGAGACTAAATTGTTGATATGTTTTGATCAAAGGTGTATTATACAGCAAACCAACTATAACATTAAATATTCGTGATCCAAAGACTGATTTTGTACCATTTTATAATCGGATTACCTGTCTTATTAGAGTGAACTAGAGTGAACCGGTCGGTGAAGTCTTCAACACCCAGACCAATTACAGACAGATCAAATAAGATTTTTCAGATAGAGGGGTTTTAGCACCTTTGGTAGATGTGTAAGAGTGCAAGACTGTGTAATGTGTGGGGATCCAAAGAAAAGAGAGTTTTAGGAGAATGGAATGTTTTGGGTAGAACGATGTAATACGATATAGGCCTATTCTGATGACTGTGCTATTGCTCTGTGATTTTCCTCATCATTCTGTGCTCCTATATTTGTTTATTATTTGACCGCATCTGTACTGTAAGTGAACATTATTATAAAACTAATTCCAACTTATTCTTGAGTGCACTTTTTCATTAGATCTTTAGGAAATTGTTCATCGGCAATGCTATTCCTCAAAACATGAAAAGGACTCATACTGTATGTTAAATCAGACAAACTATTTATTGTAATCAATATATTGTAACTGGTGACAAAACTGAGAAAGCATTGACCCATAATTTGCAAATGACAAAGGCACATACCAAGAGCAATAGTAAGGCTAGCCAGATAGTAAAATCCCTTCAAATTTGAATGTTAGATTTATTACATTTTAGGACTCATTCTACACATCAGCAATAAGACTGAATCAGTTAATTGGAAGAATAAATCTAGCTAAATCAAGGTGATAGTTGAGGGATTAATCTGTGTTTTTAAACATTTTGTTTAGATTAAGAGGCTGATAAATTGGTAAAGATACTTATGGGAACCCATAAGGAAGGATGCTTATGTAAAGGCTTCATGCTTTTATCTCTGTTACGAAAATACAATAAAACTTCCCTGAAATGTGGGAGTTGTAGGCCTATTTCCTTGCTAAGCGAATATGCACCCAAGAACTATTTCCCCTCTAGTGAGGCACCAATATAGATTTACAAGTATTAGTAGATCTTAGAAAACAGAAATGTGAATAAGACAGTATTCCCAAACTAATACATTTTTGTTAAAGACAAGATTTAATCATTGAACAATTAAAATTAAGGTGTTAAGCATTTTCTTCATACTGTTTTGGAGCAAATTATGAATCTTTTTGAAGATTTTTTCTAACTTTTGAAAACGTTTTCTAAAAAGAAAACTTGATTCATAGACATTGTAGGGGGAAATGAATAAGATAACCTCATAAATATACAAAAGGCAGAGCAAAATCGGTAGAGCTTTGAACTGTTAGACAAGTCAGTTTTGTTATATGTATTGTGGACTGAGCCTTGAGAGTATTCGAAGTGCTGATGTGTTTTTTGTTGTTATTTAAAAAAAATAAGTTTTGCATAATTGTGCAGTATGTAAAGAGAAAAATAACCATATATGAAAAGGGAAAGTATGCTGAGCTTTGCAAACAAGTAATGATAATACCAAGGTTAATAGCATTGTTTTATGTGTACAGTACCTATATTGTTACTAGTATTAGAGGCACTGAGATGTCATTGCTGGTGGAAAAAAAAGATTTAGCTTTTCTGCACAAGTTATGTGACAGCCTCCAAGTGAACCTGTTCTACAAAAACAGAAATTGAAGAGGTGGATTGTCCTCAAAACAGTACTGCTGTGGTGAATCAGGAAAGGTTGAACCAAGCTAGAACATTAACATGTCTTTGCCACAAGAGGGAGCTCTTGGCTATTCTGTTTGAATTTTGGTGGAACAATACATAGTAGATGAGTTTTTAGATGCTAGGAAATTCTGAAATTGAATAATGATACTTAAGTATGTTTTGTTTGCTTTACTAATCAAAAGCTACACATTCTAAGGCCTTCTCCTATAATGTAATAGGAAGAATATGCACTTCTCAGTTCAGAGATTTAGGGGATATTGGAGTCAAAATGCTTGTAAGGAAAGGGGGACTGACAAAGCCCATGAACCATGATAAAAATTAAACCAAGTCAGAACAGTGTTTGTTGGGACAGAAAATATCAAGCAATTTTCTAGCTCATTGTTTTGTAGCACTCAAGACGCATGTGGTAAAGTTGTAGAAATCTTATTGAGAGATAAGAATCATGGAGACCCAGTCTTCAGTCCCTTGCTGCCAGTTCAGAGTGGAGGCAGTTCACTGAACCTGGAATAGACACAAGACACTTTAATGTCTAGTGTTAATAAAGGCTGCCTTCAAACTTTGTTGGAAGCTTATTTCAATGTGTTTATAAAAAAATATTAATACAACATGGTCCACACCATGTGGTTAGCATTGCTGCCTCACAGATCTGAGACTTTGGGCTGGGTTTCTGGGGTGCTATCTGTGTGGAGTTTGTATGTTCTCCTCATGTTCATATAGGTTTCCTCTGTGTGCTCTGGTGTCCTCCACAGTCCAAAGACATAGAAATAGGTAAATTGGCTTCTGGGAAAGCTGGCCCTGGTGTGAGTGTGTGTGTCTGCCCTGTGATGGACTGGTGTCCTGTCCAGGGTTTATCCTGTTTTTTACCCTCTAATGCTTTCTGGGTTAGGCTCCAGCTCCCCCATGATCCTGAATTGAATAAAGCAGTTAGAAAATAAACAGATGGATAAATGCAACTTTTTTTCTTCTGTTTGCAGATTCCTATGATCCCAGCAGAGTTGAGAGAGTTTAGAACAACAAGGACTGCGCATCTGACTGTCATTTACATCAGAAATTCTGTTCAAGCACTGTGACCTGGCTGCCCACTGTAATGCCTTCATTTCATCTTCCTCTAATGAAAATTGCCTTCTTCGACCCAGGAATTGTTACTTTCATCTGGTTTTGTGATGAAAGTGGTGTTTCACTGCCAGTGGGGAACAGCTCTCTCGGCCAGGGAGGCTCCCGGCCGTGAGAAATGTTTCCTTTTCCCATTTTCCAAACTTTGCTTTTCATGGACCAACTTATGCAATGCTGTAATGAAAACATAACAGTTTCAGCCTATTCCCTAACAAAAGCAAAACACTATAAAATGTGATTGTTTCTAGATGTAGATGCAATTGTATGAATTGCTCAAATATGAATGTATTGTAAGTACTTGTATTTTCTAAATGAAATGGTCACAGAAGAGGAGGATAATGGGAATTGCTTTGTTACAATCAGCAATGTACATGCTGTTAGAAAGAGGTGCCTGGCCACTTAACAGAGTCCATTAATTAGGACTCCAGACATACGGGCTAGAAAACTGTTTATTTTTATAAGACTGTAAATACTATTACCCATTCAACTTGACTAAAAGTGTTATACTGTGCAGTATATCAAAACCCCATAAGCAAACACTATTATTATAACCCTGCATTTTGGGAATTCATGTTTATAGATGGAGAATGTACGTATAATAGCAAACAGATTCAATTTAAAAACACTGTGGTTCACTACATCGTCTCCTTAGATAACGCAATATTTGTTGTACAGAGCTAATTTTGTTGTTTCTGCAACTAATAGCCAGCAGCAGGACTGACCTCCAATAAGTTTTTGATGGAAAAAATAAATTGAATTTGTGTATGTGTGTTCATTTCGGGATAGCAAACAACGTGTTCAGCATTTTCACCCAATGTTTATTTTTCTGTTATTTCATCGAATTGTTAATCAGTCTGCGTTATGTACAAAATAAAGTCTATTTTAACAATATTTTAAGAGAAATTTTGTATTTAACCCATTGTATTTGCCTGATTCAATTAAGCCTTGAATTATATTATATCTAGATTATATCGTTTTAGGATTATTAATATAATATGACTATATCTTTTTTTATATAATTATAACGCATACGAACGGATGAGTGCTGTTAATTGTGATCTGGTCTTCTATGTAAAGATGATTTATTCTTAAAATAAGTTTTTTTTTTCTGAACCTTTTCTCTAATAACTTTGTGAGTAGCTATTTCATTTGCTCACTATATTACAAGAAATAGGAGGCTTTCAAAAGTTCACTCTCTTCATGGAATTTATATGGTGATATCTCTCTTTATGAAATAGTACAGTTTAATTTAAGCATGGTCTTCACTGGGAAAAGTCTGTGAATCATTTTTCATGTTTAAACTTCATATGCTGGCATTGTCCTTATTTCAGCACGGTCCAGTGTGAGGCAGACAGTAGATTTTAAATAATAGGTTTCTGAGAAGTTTCATTACTTTTCATTCTTAGCAGAAACAGAAAGAAATACGTGGATCTAAAAAAGATCAAAACTCACATTAAAGGCGTTATAATTATGCAGCTCACCAAGCCCACGTTATTTCATTTGTTGTGTAGTGCGTGGCTTATTTTAGCAGCACTCCTTTGTTAAATTCAGATTCGTTCTTTCAATAGTATTAATATGGTTACAATGTCTGTAAATTAACATTTCTTAGAAATAAAAGATGTTCTGATTTCTGTTTTAGATGCGTAACTTACTTCTATAGTTTTCCAGTATAGGCTTTTTTGATATTAATATGGTATGCAGAAATAAGGATGGTATAATTAAAAACAATTAAAGTTGCTTTTTATTGGGTTTTCACTATTTGTACTCATTACTTGAAGCAGTACTTTATTCAAACTGATAGTAAGTCTTTGCAATAATAAACTGGAATATTTTATATGGTATTACTTGCGGAACTGTATGCTTTCAGATTGCTGGTAACTGGTTCCAGAAATCATTGGGAACACTGCTACTAATGTTATTGCTACTACTAATGGTAATACAGTAAATAGTGAATATCCGTCCATGCTTTGTACACATAGTGCCACTAACATCCATCTTTATGCCTTTACATAGAATTTTGAAAACCTTGTCAGTGTAATCTGTTGAAAAGAGAGCAGGGCAAGAAACGTCATTTAGTGTTTGACACTTTTTACTGAATTGATTAACTAGCATAACAAGTGAAAGGATGCTTATAGTAGTCGTACATTGTAGTTGTCTTCACGTCTGGCTACTCACATTGCTGGATGTTGAGGGGGATCTTGAATTTTCGCTTCTCGTTAAATTCCTGAAATCAGTGACTTGGAAGGCAGAGGTCTGGAAGACACTGGTGACACTTTCAACCTTTTATTCATGGGTTTCGGTGAACAGGACAGCCTGTTCAGTCATCGTGAAAGGAGGGTGCTTGACCTTCTAGAGCAATCTATTTTTTGACCTTGGCATGTCTAGCAGACTGTTGTATTTTGGTGTCATTAATATTTTATATTGCCACCACTGCGCAGCACGGATAATTTTGCACATCTTGTTGTAATATTTTCTATTTTCATACAAAATTGAAGTGCTTTTTGTATACAGGGGGACTGTTGTTTCTTGCATGGATGAAATATGACAGAATTTGCATTTGGGACTTTTGTCTACCCAAGAAGCAAACCATTATCTTTCATACAGCATATTTTTATTTACAAAAATGATGCCAAGTATTTAAATTGACAAGCTACCAGGCTATTTTCAGAGTATATTAAAAGGGAACTCATTTATTTTTCTTTGAGGCACATCAATACCTTTGTATTTAAAACATGTACATAATATATTGGCATATGATTGTGCTGCTGTTGTATAATAATGCAGATTATTCATAAATAAAGTATTTGCATGGATGTTGTGTTTGTTTTCATTTTTTTTATTTTGAATATGCATGAAATGACAGCATGTGATCTGGTTTAATACTGTATGAACATTTCATGTGTAAAATAGCTGAGTCCCTGTCACGGATGTCGGAGGGGGCGAACCGTGGAGAGGCAGGAGAGTGGAAAGAGACCCATATGTGTAGCGGCGGAACAGGGGATTAACCCGGACTCAGCAGTTCAGGAGTTGTATAGAAACCAATGCCCTCAGGCAGCGGACTTCAGGCGACCTGGATGCTAGGCGGGTCTCAGGACACCCGAACGTCAATGCTGAGCGTAGGTGAATCAGTGACCCGGAAATATATAGCCCCAAAGAGAGAGACACACTGGAAGGACAGCAAAGCGCAGGAAACTAGGGACAGGACAGAGTAGGAGCGTCCTCTGGCTGCAGAGTGCATGACAGTCCCAGTATACAGTATTAAGTTTAGCACCAGCATAAAATAATGGGCCACTTCCTCACAGTTCATCTGAATGGGTATAAATGTCAGCCATCAGGGTGAGAATTTTAACCCAGTGTGTGGAGTTTGCTTTTCTCATGTGTGTATTTTCTGCCAGTGTTGTGTATTTAAACACAAAAGGGTTCAGTAGAGAACAATAGAGACTTGAAAACCTAACCTGTTTGTCTTGGACATACCGGTTGCTCTCTTATTTCTGAAGAAACGTTTTTCTGTTGCACCAAATAAATACTATTGTTCTTTAAATGGACTTTTTAACATTGTGAAAAGAGAAATGGTCTGAACTTAAAAGCACAGTTATTAAAAATAGCATTAGGCTTCATTTGGTCTAGTGTGTCTCTGAATGCATAACTAGTTACTCTTGGTATGAATATGAATGATACTGTGCTGGAGGAGGTGGGGAGGACTCTGGGGTCGTTCTCTGAAGGAGAAGCACGATTAAGTTACACAAGCTTGCCAGCTCAGGGAGTCTGAATCCCAAGGAGGCAGGCTTCTGCTCTGGAAGAACTAAAGCAATTCCACCTTACATACACACAGAGCTAAGCCACAGCCTCTTCTACAACATTTGAGATTGACGTTGGTAATAAGATCACAAAGAGTGAAGTGACCTACTTGCCACATTCACTTCTATAAAATTGGAAAGAAGTTCCCACCTTTTACCATTCCTAAACATTGCATCATGAACACTTTAAATAATCTTTTGATGCATTCTTTAGAAATGTCTATAAGAAAAGAAAACCCTGTAAGATCCAGCAGTTTCTTCTCACGTGTTTTCACCTTAACTTTCAGACCTCTGTCTGCTGCAGGACTTACTGTAGGCTGCAGGTTTGCTGAGCTGGTTCTAGCATTGACTCAACATTCAGGTAAGGAGGTAAATACTCATACGCCTTATGTAATAGTATTTTTCAGTCATGTGCAAAGGGAAATATTGCACTACATTTACACCTCATACATTCCATTTATAGGATTTTGCAATCAATAATCTTGATATTTTGATAGTTTTGATATTATCTCGTCCTTCTTTGTTTTAATATAATGTCTTTACAAAATACCTAATGCTAATGCAGAGCACTCTAGACCAGAATTAAAAGCATGTTACAGTACAAAGACATTTATTCTCATACAAAAAGGAAATGGTCCCGAAAAAGCATGCCTCTTTCTCTGAATATTTAATTAGAGGTCTTATTAATATTCTTGTGTGAAGGAAAGGCTTTAAGTCTGTAGTTTGAGCCCTAGGATTTGCTCTTTTCTTTGAAGTGCAAAAGATTCTTGCAGTTAGATTCAGAACAAAAGCAGAACATTTCCCAGAATACCTTTCACCACAATTTGTTACCTACTTGGATGTGTCCTGAATGCTTCAATCCACGAATATGAAAAAGAACAGTACTTAAGGTCAGCTCATTTAAACTGATTAATTACAAGCGCTATTATATGTTTGTAATTATAAGCCACCCATTCACTATTTCTAAATGATCAAACTTGTCATCTTAAGGTGAATTGGCTGGAATAAAAAGGCAAATAGTACATTAGGGAGCAAAACTGAGATACTGCAAGTGATAAATAGGCTATATTTGTTACGATCCCTGCCTCCCGGAGCGCTACTCCTACTTCTACCCTGTGTTCGTCTTGGCTTTCGGTTTTCGGTTTTTCCCTTTGGACTTCGGCTTTTTGGATCTCGGCTTGGCTTGGTTACTTACGCTCTGTTTCGGATCACTGGCTACCCCTGGATTATTGGATTGCTCTACTGTCTACGACTTCGGATCATGCTTCGGCTTCGGTACTCGTTCCCTTTCGGATATCTGGCTTCCCCTGGACTCTCGGCTCGTTCCTACGATTACGGCTTGCTTTTGGATTACGGCTTGGCTTTGTTCGCTCCTGCAAGTGGGTTCACTCACTGGTTCGGTCCCTCTTACCGAATCCATAACAGAATACTGAGCCGCTTAACATGGACCCATCGGAGCAAGAGGAGATTCGCTCGGCTTTGGATCAGCACAGGCAAGCCTTACTCCAGCTACAGGCTTCCGTCCAACAGATCTCTGCGCACCTGTCTGCAATGCCGCCCATCGGCAATCGAGGAAGCAACGCTGGAGCTGCCGCTTCGGCTCCGCCCCCTCCAGCTCCTACACCTGCGCCTCGACCTCTTCCACTAACTCCACCTGACAGGTTTGACGGCAACCCTACGAAATGTCGGGGCTTCTTAGCACAGTGTGCGCTGGTTTTCAGGCTTCATCCGGAAACTTTTTTTCTCCTCAGGACAAGATCGCCTTCATAGTTTCACTGCTAACCGACCGCGCTTTGGAATGGGCTACTGCTCTGCTTGATCGCGGGGCTCCTGAAATTCAGGATTATTTTTAGGAAAATTTAAGGGTTTTTTTTGTCGTCCCGTAGTTGGCCAAGACTCTGCCTTCCGCCTCTCCTCCATCCACCAAGGCCGCCGGTCTGTACATGATTATGCTATAGATTTTCGAGTAGCAGCAGCAGAGATTCACTGTGACAATGAGGTCCTTATTTTTCTTTTCCGTCAAGGACTCAGTGAAGAAATAAAGGCCCATCTGGTAAATATGCCGCAATTGGGCAATACCTTGGAGGAAGTTATTTCACAGGTATTGCAATTAGAACTCAGAATTCGTCATAGGAGTGCTGAGAGATCTCGGTCCCCAATACTAGAGGCTCCTCGGCTATCACCTTTCAGATCTGTCGCCTCAGAACAACCTATGGAAATAGCCCGCACCCAGATAAACCCCTGAAGAACGAGAGAGGCGCCAACGAGAGGGTCGCTGCATGAACTGTGGGAAATTTGGACACTTTAAAGCGGCCTGCCCTGCTTCATACTCATCCTTGAGGCGCCGCCCACCTTCTCAGAATCCTAAGGTGAGTGAAAATACTCAATTCTCTCACCTTTCCTCAGGATTTTTTATTCGTTCTACACTATTCTGGGGTAATGAAAGGAGACCTCTTCTTGCTTTTATAGACTCAGGGGCGGCAGGAAACTTTATAGACGCCTCCATCGCTCGAGCTTGGAAACTACCTTTGACCCTGGTGACTACCCCTCTTCGTGTTCAGTCTATTGATGGCTCCCCCGTATCTCCAGGACTTATTAGGTGGCAAACGGAAATTATAAGCCTGCAGATAGGCGCCACCCATGTGGAAGACATCTGGTTTTATCTCCTTGAGACCCCAACACATCCTCTGGTGCTAGGCTTTCCTTGGCTACTGCAGCATGACCCTAACATTTCTTGGTCCCGTAAAGAAATTGTAGCTTGGGGACCCAGATGTATTAGAAATTGCTGTCGTCTACCAGTGAAGATTGCACTCACGGCGACGTCCCCTTCAGGGGTTCCTACCATACCCCCTCAATATTCTGATCTACAAGCAGCCTTTAATGAGCAGGAGGCCTTGGCCCTCCCCCCTCATCGACCATACGATTGTGCCATTGACCTTTTGCCAGGTACAGTACTATCCCTCCGAAAGGTTGTATTTTTCCACTCTCCAATTCTGAGTCTGAGGCCCTGAAAGTCTATATACAAGATTCTCTGAAGGCTGGACTTATACGTCCATCCACTTCACCAGCATGTGCCAGTTTTTTTTTTGTGGAAAAGAAGGATGGTGGGCTCCGTCCCTGCATCGACTATCGTGGCCTCAATGAGATCACAATCAAGAATCGGTAACCTTTGCCTCTAATTCCAGCAGCACTTGAGTCTGTGCATGGAGCCAAGATCTTAACCAAACTGGATTTACGAGGGGCCTATAACCTAATCCGCATTCGGGAGGGGGATGAGTGGAAGACGGCATTCATGACAACCCATGGACATTACGAATATTTGGTCATGCCCTTTGGTTTGGTTAATGCTCCAACAGTGTTTCAGTCTTTTATTAATGACATCTTTCGTGATCTCCTACAAAGATTTGTCTTGGTTTATCTAGATGACATACTATTTTTTTCTGATTCCTTCCAGGACCATGTTCTCCATGTCAGAGAAGTACTCTACCGGCTCATTAAGAATAAACTATATGTCAAACTAGAGAAGTGTACCTTCCATGCTTCGAGGATTCACTTTTTAGGGTACGTCATCTCTCCGGAGGGGGTGGAAATGGATTCGAGTAAAGTCTCGGCGATTACTGATTGGCCCACTCCCAAGAATCTCAAACACATTCAACGATTTCTCGGCTTTGCTAACTTTTACAGGAAGTTTATTCGAAACTTCAGCTCAGTGGTCACTCCCATAACCTCTTTGACCCGTAAAGGACCAAGACAAGGCAAATGGACCCCTCAAGCCGAAGAAGCATTTCAGCGTCTGAAACACCTGTTCACAACAGCCCCCATCCTAAAACACCCTGATCCAACTTTGCCTTTTGT